GGCGGCGGGTTTGGCCGGTGAGAAGTATTGTCTAGCAGCTGCCGTACTTGCCGTACAACTAGCTATTCAGCTGTTTTGCGGTAAGGGCCCTGGTGGACGTGAAGCAGTGTACGGCAACCCACACGTACCTCGTGTGTGTGTGTGTGCACTCCTGTGTACACATCTCGCAATGCTGTGTAGCCCCCTGGCCAGCCGCTCAGTTCTCAGGCTTGTGGCACCCTGTGTAGGTGGCGGCGCCGCATTAGCGCTTGTCGCTGCAGCACTTGCCGGGATGTACGTACTCCGGCGGCGGCGGTGGGTGGCGGTGGAGGCCGCCGATGACGGTAAATGTGGCGGTGGCGGCGGCCCTGCCGGCGGCGGCGGCGGCGCGGCTGCCGGCGTCGAGGGATGCGAGACGGCGGCGGCGGGGACGGGATCCTTGACCGGGACGGGTGTACTGCATGTACGGGAAAGGATGACCAGGGTGATGCCGGCAGAGGCGGCTCGGAAGGATACTGGAATAGCTGGCACTGATCTCCCCCGCCGCGTTGATGGTGGAGGCGGTTTCGACGGCGACAGCAGTGGTGGTGGCGGTGGCAGTACGACAGCCAGTAAGCCAACCTTGTCGGAGGGGGAGAGCAGCGGCACCCAATGCGGCGGCGGTGGCGGCGGTGCTGAGGTATCCACTTCCAGCAGCAAGACGCCGCCGCTGCCGGTGGTGGCAGCGGTGGCGGTGGCGGTACCGGCGCCGGCAGATTCCAGTGGCGTCAGCGGCGGCGAAGCCGCAGCCCTGACTGCGGCTGCTGCTGCTGCTGCTGCTGCGGCTCCTGTCGGGCGAGGCCAGTTAGGTAGGTGCCACGTGGGACGTCGTGGCCGCCATGGAGTACGACATGGGTATGTGACCTCGGCGGCGGCGGTGGAGCCTGTTCCGCATGTCCAGGGAGAGGGTGTCGTACGGAGATGAATGCGACCAATTTGCAAAGTTAGGGCACGTACGGCAACGTGGCGACACGGCTGTCTACATTCTCCCGCCCAAACCTGCTGCCCCCTGCTGGCCCCCCACCCCCCACCCCGGCTCCCCCGCTGCAGGGCCCCCGGATCCCTCGGATGTCGAATCCGTACGACGGTCGTTGCTGCTGGCAGCTCAGAAACATCGGGGAGGCGCACTGCAAGTACAGGTGCGTCTGTCAGTCTGTCCCAAATCCAAACCCGCATCCAAATCCGAGACAAAATCCAAATCCAAATTCAAATTCAAATTTCAAACCTTTTCAAATGCCCCACCTGTCTGAGTCCAGGTGTTATCGCTCCTGGGGGAGGGTAGCTTTGGCACGGTGTATAAGGGTGAGTGGGTGGGTGGGGAACCCTGGGTGACAAGGGGAAGGGGGAGGAGGGAGAGGAAATGACGAAGCAATCTTGCAGGCGCTGTTATTGCCTTTTGCTGCATGTGCTTGGTGCCTGGGGAATGCATTTCAGGGTTTCAGGGCATGATGGGGGGCCCCCGCAACCTAGGCGACGCATTCGGTCGAACGTCACCATGGCCGCAGTCGGGGGATGGCAAAACGAGGGGGGAAAGGGGGAAAACACGGCGGGGCGGAATGGTTAGGAGGGCGTGTTTCAGGGCATGACGGGGGACACCCGCAACCTAGGCGACGCATTCGTTTGAACGTCACCATGGCCGCAGTCCAGGGATGGCAAAACGAGGGGGGAAAGGGGGAAAACAGGGCGGGGCAGAATGGTTAGGAGGGCATGTTTCAGGGCATGTCGGGGGTCCCCCGCAACCTAGGGGACGCATTAGTTCGAACGTCACCATGGCTGCAGTCGGGGGATGGCAAAACGAGGGGGAAAGGGGGAAAGCGTGGCGTGGCGTGGCGGGAATTGGAACAGGGCAGAGGTGCCACCCACGTTCTTGTGGGTCTGGGTTCAATTCCCAGGTGTCCCGTACTGATCCATGATACATACACACATTTGTACATGAATGCATGAGCACACGGATGGTGGGGCACACACATTCACATGCAAAGGACGGAGGGAGGGAAGGCCAAGGGAGCGCAGGGGACAGCAGAGGGGAAGGCACAGGATGGCAGAAGGGAGGGCAGATGGAAGGGGAAGGGAGGTGATGGGAGGGAGCGTGGAGGGAAGTGGGGGGGATGATGGAGGAAGGGTGGAGGAAGAGTGGGAAAAGGTATTGTGGAGGGATTATTGAGGGAGGGTGGAGGTAGGGTTGGAGGGAGGGAGGGTGAAATGATGGAAGGATGGAGATGGAGCGCCATGTCTCCCTTGGTTCACGCCCCGAAGGAAAAAACAGCCACACGGTTCTATGGGCCTGGAGGCCTCAGTGTTATTAGCATATGCAACATTCACGCCCACACGAATCCCCCAGGGTCCCTGTCGTATTTTAGTTATTTAGCCAGTGGCTCAACTGTTCATTTGACTGGACATTCATAGGAGAGTCATCACACACACACCCAGCAGAGACACACAAACGCGTGGCACGCTAAAACAGCCATCAAGCCTGTAATTTATTTAACTTCTGGAGAGACACCCCCAGACTCCCGGATGGGCAGTGGCAGGTGTTGTGTCGTGTGCGGGGTTTTTAATTGTTTGGATGTTGTGCACAACACATGGGTGAGGGGCTCTTGCTGTGTTGTTTCATCTCACCACAGCCTTCACCACACAGCCCCTGGGGGTCAGTTGTTTTTTCAAACACGCCACGTGACACCACCACACGCCGCCCTGATTCATTGTGAGGCCACATCATGGACACAATATCCGAATGTGTCAGAATGTCTCGACGATGCCGGGGTTTAGGGGGATGCATTTGGAATACATCCAAAGCACGATACATGTCAGATGCATGCAATGTGGTATGGGATGTGGGGTACGTTTAGACTCTTTTTATGGGCCAGAGGGTCGTCCAGCTGTGGAGGGCTGGAGAGAGGTGCAGTGGGGGACTCTTTTTAACATCTTTTACACAAACACTAATGTGGAGGAACGCGCGTTTTTGTTGGTAGGAATGCATGTGTTTTGTCTTCTCCCACTTGTGGTGGTGTAAGTTGTTTTGAGGCACACCACCCTGTGGCGTGCAAGTGAGATTTTGTGCGCACGCAGCTGCAGCTGTGTGTGTGCATGTGCATGCATGTGTTCGAACTGTATATTTGTTGCAGACCCGTGGGTTTCTCTCTGCCCCGATGATGCCCTGTGGCGCCCTGCTTCCTGTATGCTAGTTTTAGCATGTGTGAAACAACTTGCAGAATGATAGGTGTGATGGGAGCGACAAGCAAAGCTGTTGTGCTCAAATGGAGTGTGCAAATGGATGTTCGGCGACATGCGAACACCACACAAGCAACTCCACAGACTAAAGCGGGTGATGCACATATAGACGCATACATGATTTGAGGACATGACCTGGTGTATGGTCCCTTTAATGTAGGGGGGCCCTGATAACTAGTACCCGGCCTCAAGTAGGCATTTCCGCCAGGCTTGCATTGTAACGAGAGCAAGGCAAGCTCGCATGCATAACTGAAGCCGAAGTGCTCATCCACCGTACACAGCCAAAGTAGCTGGGCGCACGTCAGCGATGAGGGCAGCATCTAGAGTATGTACCACTGTTCCCCTTCCTGTGCCGCCCGCTTCACCGCCCCAGCCACCCGCGCCCTGCACGCATTCTCCTCTCCTTCTCATCCCTACAGCCTAACTCTTGTTTTTCCCCCCACCCCCGTCCCTTTCCTCTAAGCGGCCACACAGCCACAGGCGGCTAATGTCTGGACACACCATCAAACAACAACCGCCTGGCAAACTGTGTTTCATCAAGCAACACAGCATATCATTATGCATTTGATTACAGTGCATACAATGTCGGAAAAGCCGACAACAACTCAGAGCGGCACAGACAGCGGCTCATACAACGGCTCATACAGCGGCTCGTACAACCACTCCAACCAGCGAACAAACATTTTCCAAATCATGACACGACGGCATCTCATGCAACTGTAACATCATGAACAACGGAACCAAAAAATGCTTGTCCATGCTATGGCTCACATCCTGCTTCCCATTTCCATGTCTTCAGATTCCAACACAGCCATCACAAAAGCGAACTTGCGACCAAGTGTGTCAACACATGCACGGTGAACAAATCTGTAGCAACAGGTGTCAAAAGGTGTGAAGGCAGCATGCACGTGTGCTGCTCCATGTGTGTGTGCACATAGTCTGCCGCCGTGTATGCTGGCTCAGCACCGCACCCATACATGAATTCCACTCAATGCCCCAACCGCCCAATTGGCATATCCATGCTAGAAACCCTCATACCAAAGCCAGCACTGAGGCATGGCCCATACGTTCTTGCATTCAACAGAATTATTCTACCTGCTACCAGCCCCTATGTACAACAAAACATACAAGCCCCCCTTTCCCATTTTTGGCAGATGGACTGCAGCAACAGCAAACCAGCATTCGGGGGCCAGTATCAGTGCTGGAGGTGACAGCAATGTGGGCCCATCCACTACCTGTGTTGGCAGCGACAGGAGCGAGAGCATACATATGTGAGGTAAGGGGGGCCTGCTGGCAACACAACAAATAGGAGCCATAGCATATGTCGTGGGGCCACCCTCAGGGGAAGGGTAAACAACGAAGATGGGTTGGTCAGCACTTTCACTTCCATGCACATGTGTCACGTTTGGCCACACCTCAGCATCGGATTCTCTGGTGTGAATACCGAATCAGATCCATAGCCCACAGTATCGTGTCAGAGGTCAAGAGGTGCTGCAAATGCTTTCACTAACTAACTCGTGCTGCCATGACTCGTGAAACACCAAGTTTCTTTGCAGCTTTGGCAGGCCCTAAATGGGTGGACAGCTCAAGCGCTTGTGAGTGAAACAGAAGCGAATACATATCATTCCAAGACAAAACAAGTCGGAGGGGCAATGTTGCATTTCATACTTCTTGCACCTTAGCGTGCCTCACCATTTTACTCCGCGCACCACCCATCCACACCATCTCCCATCATCCATTCACTCACCAAACTATTGGAAGCAGATAGTCACCATCTCGTTGAGGTAGTCCACCTGGAGCAGGCACTTGTTGCGCTTCATGAAGTCCGCCCCGAGAATGGGGATATCCCGGTGATTGCTGTGCTCACCCTGGTCGCAAAGCCGCACTTGCGTGCGGCGGCAGCCGCCGAGGTTCACCATGGCGGCCATGGGCACAGAGTCACAACCGAGTGCAGTGAACACGCTCGGGCTGAACTCTGTGACAGGTGCGCCAGTGTCGACCAGCAGGAACACGTTGATGATATTGCCACGTATCTGCGCCGGCATGCAGACGAGTGGCCGGTTCGCTGGACCCCAGAGGATGCCCTCGACTTGCTTGACTGGTTCTATGCTGGGAGCCTCAGACAAGTAGGGCACCCCGAGCAGCGCGGAGACCTCGTGGATCAGGTTACTCTCCTTCAGGTCAAGGAGCAAGCTCTGCGCTGGCAGCGGCGACGGGGACGGGGGCGCAGGCTCGCTGGAGATATCGTAAGGGCCGCCTCCGAACATTCCTCGCTGAATCTCCACCAGAGGAATGATGGCGTCGTCTAGACGAGACAGCAGCGGGTCCTTGTCTGGCAGTGTTGATCGCTGATTCGTCAGCTGCTGCAGGTTCTCCTCAAACGACTTGTCAGATCCCAGCCCATGGCGCATTTCCGCCGGTAGCAGGTTGATAGCGTTGAGAGCACGGGATGCTCTAAAGGCAATTGGCGACTCTGTGTGCGCTACCAGGGACTCCAGCGTCATTTTCGTGGGCGACTCCATGTTTAGGGTTGGGGTTAGGGTATCCTCGATATGCATTCGATTACAGCATATACAATGTCGAAAAAGCCGACAACAACTCAGCGCGGCACCGACAACGGCTCATACAACGGCTCGTACAACCACTCCAACCAGCAAACAAACATTCCAAATCGCGACGCGACGGCATCTCACGCGACTGTAAATTTATGAACAATGGAACCGAAAAAAAAGCTTGTCCATGCTGTGCTTCGCATCCCGCCTGCCATTTCCATGTCTTCAGATTCCAACGCAGCCATCACAAAAGCGGACTTGCGACGAAGTGTGTCAACACATGCGCGGCGAACAAATCTGTAGCAACAGGCGTCAGAAAGGTGTGAAGGCAGCGCGCACGTTTGTTGCTCCGTGTGTGTGTGCGCGTAGTCCGCCGCAGTGTGTATGCGACCTCCGCACCGCACCCATACATGAATTCCACGCAATGCCCCAACCGCCCAATCGGCATATCTATGCTAGAAACCCTCAAACCAAAGCGAGCACCGAGGCACGGGCCTTGAGTTAAACAGAATTATTCTACCTGCTACCGGCCCCTATGTAAAAACCCTATGTACAACAAAACATACAAGCCCCCCTTTCCCCCTTTTGGCAGATGGACTGCAGCAACAGCAAACCAGCATTGGGGGGCAGCGACAGGAGCGAGAGCATACATATGTGAGGTAAGGGGGGCCTGCTGGCAACACAACAAATAGGATGCCATAGCATATGTCGTGGGGCCACCATCAGGGGATGGGTAAACATTGAAGATGGAGACCGAGGTGAAGCGGGTTGGTTATGAGGGCGGGTTTCAGGGTATCGCATAGGCCCCCCGCAACCTAGGCGACGCATTCGTTCGAACGTCACCATGGCCGCAGTCGGGGGATGGCAAAACGAGGGGGGAAAGGGGGAAAACGCGGCGGGGTGGAATGGTTAGGAGGGCGGGTTTCAGGGCATGACGGGGGGCCCCCGCAACCTAGGCGACGCATTCGTTTGAACGTCGTCATTGCCACAGCCCGGGCAATGCAAAAGGGGAGAAAATGGGGGAAATCACGGTGGGGCGGGTTGGTTGGGAGGGCGAGTTTCAGGGCATGGTGGGGGGCCCCCGCAACCTAGCCGACGCATTTGGTCGAAAGTCATGGCCGCAGTCCGGCGACTGCAAAACAAGGGGGGAAGGTGGAAAACGCAGTGGGGCGGATTTGACGACGATGCTGGTCTTGACGGTGGCGAGGCTCCGCTTCGTCGTCAGGACGCCGGTGCGGATAGCTACATGCTGCACATCTTCGGCAGCGCCTACACCAAGGTTGCGGGGGGTGACGAGTTTGGCGACTCGGGTGCGATCAAGGTGAGCTTGTCGGTTTGAAATTGTGGGAATTTGTTTCCGAAATCGGATCTGAACTTGATTGTGTATGAACTTGTTGGATTAAGAATTGGATTTGGATTTGGATTAGGATTTGAACCATTCATGCGACCGGGTAGCTCACTGATTTTCAGCCGCCATAGTCTTTTCATGTCCCCTCCTTCGTCCTCCTGGCCCATCACTCTCCTTCGCCCTACGCCACATTCCCCCTCCATTTGGACTTTGGACGCCTTCCGGCGGTTCATTTCTGAGTATCTTGCATCATATAATTAGGTTGGACCATGGCCCCCGGGAGATCCCGGGTTCGAGACCTGTCAGGGTCGAAAATCCTTTTGATGGTGGAAGGTATTGCGCCCCTAGTTGATGGACGGTGGTGACCTGGGATAAAGTTAACCTGCGAGCCGACCAGGAATGGAGTTGGGCCGCTGTCGACTCGGCAGATGTCGTTGGATGCTGGTGGTGGGTGCGGAACCTGAGCGATCCACTGAGAAGTTGACTAGGATGACTGGATGAGGGTGCTCCGAAATACTGGGGAAGGCAGGGTTTCGCAGGGTAGCTGCCACGGGCGAAGATACACCCCCCTGTTTCACACATCATATGATTACGATTATAATTATAATTCCCCCCTCCACTCCCCCCGCTCCACTTTGGTCCCCGATCTTGATGGCTGCCCTCCTGGTGGCGGTATTGCTGTTGCTGTTGCTGTTGATCTTGTCCGCCCGTTGATGTTCGTCGTACTCAACGGAGCAGGTGTGGCTGCACCCCTACTCCACGGTCCGCATGCGACTGGACATGCTGTGGGTGATGGCGGCGCTGGTCATGGCGGCCGTGATGTCCCTGCAGGTGTGTGTGTGTGTGTGTGTGTGTGTGTGTGTGTGTGTGCGGGGAGGGCATGACGGAGGGATGAGCGGGGTGTCGGGGGGAGGGTAAGGTTTGGGAGGGCGTCATAACAGGGGATTACGGTTGACTGGGTAGTTGGGTGGTTAGGTTGGGTAGTTGCGCCCCGTTCAGTCTCTCCCGCGTTGAAGCAGCGAGCGGGGAGGAGGGGATGAGGCTGCAGAATCAAATCTTGGGGCCCAGTCGCCTTAACTGCTAGGAGATGTTGGGAAAGTGGTGTTTGGGGTTGCTGGGGGGAATGGGAGCCCAGTTGCATGAGTGGTGCTGTTCTCGGGTGGGTGGGCTCACCTAGCCCAGCCTACAGGGCAGCCTACAGGCTCCGCTGCTGCGTGCCCCCGCGCGCCCTGCCCAGTCGTCTGAGCCATGTGTCGTCTTGGGGGTGTCTGCAGCAGGGGGTGTAACATCCCAACGGCACTGCCGCCTCACACACCCTCCGCAGATTGCCTTCACTACTTCGGGTACGGCACTGTCGTACCTGGTGGCATGCTTGGCCTGCAGTGTTGCCTGGATGGCTCACGTGGTTTGCAACTTCATGACCGGTGGGTGGTTGCGGCCGGTGGGGGAGGTGGGGACGGCTGTGTTCGTGTGTTCGTGTTGGTAGCTTAAGGGGTCCGGGATACGTATGTATGTACGTATGCATGTATGTACGCATGTGTTAGAGGGGAACATTGCTTGCGGTGGAGAGTGCGTGCTCTTGTTTGCGGCACTGCGGGAGGCGCCACTAAAGCGGGCCGTTAAAGCGGGGTTAAACAGGGGGGGAGGAGAGCTGGTGTGGCCCCCTCACCTGGCCCCTCACCCGGGATAGATCCCCCGCCGCCCTCACTCGACACCGACAGGGTACGACGAGGATGGCTTGATCGTCATGGACGCCGTGAAAGTACGGAACCGTTACTGCCGTACATACCTGCTTCTGGACGTTATCGGCGCGTTGCCGTACGCGCTCATCGCCGTACTGGTATGCGGGTCTGTGGAGGCTGGTGTTGATGGTAGTGGCGGCGGCGGTCATTGCTCCGCGCGTGACGCGCTGATGCTGCGGCTGTGGTCGCTGCTGCCACTGGCGACATTGCCACGGTTGCTGCAGTACCTTAGTAAATGGCAGGTGCGTATGTATGTGCGTATGTATGTGTGTATCTATGTGTGTGTGTAATTAGCATGAGTTGGGAACGGGTAGTGCGTGTGTACATGTTCGTATATGTGGTGTGATGTGGTGTGGTAAGAGGCACGGCACGGCACCGTCAAGAGGGTAGTGTGGGATGGGGTTGGCCTCTTGCCGTGCCGTGCCGTGCTGCGCCTCTTGGTGTGATGTGGTGTGATTTGATGTG